TTTTTTTGTTGATTTGCTTTGTTTTGTTTTTTTGAATGTCCAGAGGACCAGATTTAACTTTTTTAGACAACTTATTTATGTTTTTCCCCACTTTATTAGGCATATCTGGACTGATGCGACTTATTCGGCGGTGTGACGTGTACGGCGGAAAATACGGTAATCAAATATAGTGCCACAGCTCTTAAGATATACCTATTTTAAAGCAGGACTGACAGCATGCACTTGAAATTAAAACCTTTTTCAAAACATTTAAACAGACTGAACAGGTCTTTTCTGCCAGTCATTCGTTTGCTTTAGTCGGACTCTTCCCCTAATTCCCAGCTGTGAGCTAATAGGAAAAATTCAAGCACACAAGAACACCGAGTTTCCCAGGACTATTAGAGTGAGGAGTATTTTAATGACTTCAGAAACATTTTATCATTTTAATGAGAATTATTAAAAGTAAAAAAAAAAAACATGGATGTGTGTGGTCCAAGCCAGAATCATTGACTCTGGCTTGAGCAGATGGGTACACAAAGGGAAGCTGCAAAACTTGTGTTGAAACGTTGTTTTTGTACAATCAATACAAAATACCTCAATCATCAGGCTGAGTGGATGTTTTATTGGCTTGAGGCTGCTGTAAATGGCAGGGATCACTGCAAGGTGCCTCTGCTCGGGTGACTCACCAGCGATGTTGACTGAAGAGATGAAGGCGGCGAGAACAGCCAGTGTCTGCGCAGTATTAGATGGGAAGTAGCCGCCTCCCATCAGGGACAGACCACCCACAGCCGTCAGACCTGCAGACAACATATATGTCAGTGTTTATGACATTACATTGTCCATTAAATAATACCAAGAAGCTTGGGATTAAAAAAACAACAAAAAAAAAAACAATCCGAAACTCTAAACAATAAATATATCATTAAAGTTAATATTTATTAGATTTGTTTAACAGCCACTCCTACAGACTTTGTGCTTAGAATCCAGTTTGCCTGCCGGAATGGAAAAAACTAATAACGGAAGATACAGTGATAAAAAGAGATTAAAAAGGCAAAGGAGAGTTGTGTGTGTGTTTTAACCAAAAGTGGCTAAGGGAACCTTGATAACATCATTCCTGTAACGATTTACAGGTGGTAAGATGCAACGCTGAGAGCCTGGGTTCACACAAACATGAATGCAATTTAGGGTGACTGACAGGTGTGTGTGTTTGTGTTGGACATATACAATTCTAAATTAGACTTTTGTTAGAAGAAGTGGAAATTTTTACCATTTTTCTGCCAAAAAACAGTTTTAAAATCAAGTTTGTTTATCAGGTTTTAAGTAGAGCTTTAAATGTTGCCAAACATAATTTATCAACTTTTATTATGTAATTACAAGCTCATTTAAAACGTGTAACAAAATCAAAGAGATGATCACAGCAGGCAACAACAAGTAATGTAAAAGGAGACAATCGGAGAGAACCACAAGTTCAAACATCTGTGCTTAAAAGGAATGAACACCTGAAAATGTCAAACCTGCATTTTTTTTTTTTTTTTTAGAAAGTTACACTTTAATTACAACGTTATCAATAGATTGGAATGGAATCATCTTTACTGTTACTGAAGAACTGCTACAAAACAAAATTGGGAAGATTAAATATTGCACTATATTGGGAATACTGAATAAATATTGCACACGTATATAGTTATACGTATTTAGGCAATGAGTCATTTTGCCCTTTTGACATCACCAACCTGAGATGGCATTGGTGACAGACATGAGAGGTGAGTGCAGAGCAGGAGTGACTCCCCACACTGTGTGGTATCCCACGATACCAGCAAGCCCGAAGGTGGTGACTATCTGGGTGAAGGCGGCATTAGGAGCCGACAAGCCCAAACCCAGCAGGGTGCCGATACCTGGTACAAAAAGAGAGAAAACAGAAAACTAGAACAAAAGAGACAACTTGAACTGTCTGTTCAGCATATTTAAGTAGCAGATTATTATAAAACGTCACATTCACTGGGAACTTCCTGACTTAGGTCTAAAAGTTCACCAGAGATGTTTCATTTTACACAAAAGTTACAACTCAAAAATGTTACTGCTTTCATTCTTAACATCTCTAACAATCACAGCACCGCAGTCAAATATTATAAAAAAACTGATCATGTCAATATAATTGCAATAATTTATTACATTCATATAAACAGCTGGGTAAAACTTAAGAATCAACATACTGGAGGCGACTGACTGGAAGAGTTTACACTTTTTATTGGACTTTCTCTTTTTTTAATCATCTGCTACAGACAAATATTTAATATGCATTGTTTTTATTTTACAGTTTTTAAGAGAATGCTGTATTTATGTTCTTACCTCTTATTAAATGTAAATTAATTAAATATATAAATTAAATCCTATTCATGTGTCACTTTCATCACTTTTTGTCTGTCTAAACAGATCTTACTTGTAAATGTCTTCGAGGCTCAATGTGATTTATCCGTCTAAATAAAGGTTGAATGAAAAATGCAAGAATTAAGTAAAATGCTGTTTGTTGGAAAACATACTTTAACAGTAGAATAAAAATTCAGTTTGAGATTCAGTTCGAGCAGTATGTTGTATTTAGAAGATTGCCCAATTTATAAGCAATGGATGAATTTATCACATAATAGATACATGGACCGTTTCCCTTTAACCCCATAGTGCAAGTACAATAATAAAAAATCTATTTATTTTGGTTACTATTGACAAATGCAGTAAATTTTTGTTAGAAGAGCAAACGTAAAAATATTTTCCATCATGGGCAGTCATCTAAAATGAATTTAAAAGGCTACAGTGCACAAATCATAAAACTAAAGTTTCTCAGAAAAGTAAAACAGTAGCTGTGAGGTAGTACTGAGTGTGAACCACATTAACTAAATGTGGTTCACTTACAGAGCACTGTGAAGCCCTCACTGAACTTCAAACAAACAGCATGAAACCATTTTTACAATGTGCACTTCCTCACACTAACAGGGTGCCTGTGTATGTGAGACTCGCAATGTGCCTGTCACTTCTCATCTCCTGCACAAATTCCAGCAGCGACTTAAAAAGCAGCTTGTTAACCCATCCTTCACCCTAAAGGAGACCTCAAACTCCCTGAAAACCTGCAGCTGAAATGTAAAACTAATAAGTCGTCTCTAAATGTATACTTTACTCTGACTTGTCATCTTCCTGTTTCTTATTTGTAATAGAGAATACATTTCAGAACCCTTTGTGGCTTCTAACCTCCGGTGTAAATGCCAGCACTGGTGAGTGTAGCCCTGAAAGGAGAGATCTGTGATGCCTTCTCTGCCTTCAGTTCCTGGACCGTCTTGGATTTAGGAGGAGCTGCAGTGGGCACGTTGTTAGGCTGGGGAGCGGGGAACAGGTTCTTTCCATTCTAGAGGTGAAAATAAATAAAGTGTTATAATACAAAAAAAAACGTTAAAATAAAAGCAGTCCTACAAATGTGTGGCATCTTTTGAAAAATCACCAGACAAAGTGGTGTAAATTGAATAATAACTATAAGGGATGCTCCATTTTGATTTTAAATATCAGGTAAGTCTCCCAATGAAGACATTTTTTACTGAAAAGTTTAAATATGCAGTGAACATATTCACTCAGCTACTCAAGCTAATGCTCTGTTAAAAGCACAGGAAGGTGAAGGTTGCTTCTTTTTCTCAGAAGAATAAAACCGAGTCACTCAAGATGGAATTATAGGTTTTTACCACCTTCAGCAGCCAAGTTCAACCTTTCTCTTTTATAATAAATATGCAACATAATGCCACTTGGACTGTGAAAAAACAGTTTGTCATCATCAGTAAGATATTTTTTTATCACAGTTTTTAAGCAAATGAGAACAGTAGTATGTAATCCTACAGTGACATCTAGTGGCAAAGTCAGGTACCAACACCATTCATTAAACTTCACTGCATCCCAGACTTCCTCCATTGCTCCATCTTATTATTTATGTTATACCTGCATGACAACAGATCCTCTGACAACATGATCCATGGTCCCATAGTCAAACACGTCCTTGACATCGAGGTAGAAGTTCTCCTTATCTGGGCTGATCGCTCGCAGCAGCTTAGTGATGTTGTTGGAATACAGAGTGCTGGACTGTGTCGGTAAACGGCTGGGGATGTCTGTGTAGCCAATGTGGGTCACTCCCTAACAAGAAACATGGTTAAATAAATACATTAAATAACAACTAAATATATAAGGGAAGCATTAACTTATTTTGGGTCTGAGAATATTTGAAAGGAATCAAAGTCAACTTTATTGTCAAAACTGCAATATGTACAGGACATACACAGGGTTGAAATTACATTACTCTCAGACCCCTGGTGCAGCAATAACCATTAAACATTAAAACATTTCATAAACATGAGCATAAAATGAAATAATAAAAGTATGATACTGTCCTAAATTTTAGTATAGCAGTATAAAAATATATATCTATAAAATAAAATGTACACTGACCTTGTATACTGACAGTTCTCCTGGAACTGTGGTCTCGATGTTTCCACCAGCTTCAGCTGCTAAGTCCACCACCACCGAACCATCCTTCATGCTCTCTACCATTGGTTTGGTGATTAGGATGGGGGCCCGCCTCCCTGCAAAGTTAATATCAGAAGACAAACACGAGAGTGTTAATGATGAGATGAAAAACAGATTTAAATATTGTTACTTTTGTATTTAATGAAGGTTATGCTTCAATTCAAATGAAATATGTAGCAACTGTGACTGACTGAGCTCACTGTAGTTACATACAAATCTGACATAAAAAATGTCTTGGCGCATTCAAGTTTTTATTTGATAAGTAATTTTTTTGCAGCACGTCCTTAATTTAAATGATCTCTAATTGCCTTCAAACACTGTAGCATGAACATTTAGAATTAAAGAGTGAAAACATGTGTTTCTGCAAATGAACATACCAGGAATAAGAGCAGTACTGATGACGATGTCCACTTCCTGACACTGTTTGGCAAACAGCTTCATCTCTGCCTCGATGAACTCTTTTGACATTTCCTTGGCGTAACCTCCTTGACCTTCTCCTGACTCCTTTATGTTCACCTCCAGCGGCTCTGCACCAAGAGATTTAAATTGCTCCAAAGCTGCAGCTCTAAAAGAAAAAGGAAATGTTTTGGAAACTACTTTTGAAATGTCTGTCATAAAATATCTGAACAAGCTCATCTAAAATGCATGTTGCATGTGATACAATGTTGAATATTTAGTTAAATTCAAATCGCTTTATTTGTTCCCAATTTAAACAGATTAATTATGCAAAAATCTTGAATTTGTTCATTTAAATTATCAGGTATTTTTATTTTGTTGTTTAATTTAGAGTAAGAACATTTGTTATGTTAACAAAATTAATTTTAAAGACAAGCGTACATCAAAAAATCATTAAAGTATTTTAGATTACTTTAATTTTCAGATGAATCAAAACGAAAAACAAAGCTAAAATTTTAAAAGAAGTGACATCGTAAACAACAGTAAAAAACGAAAGTTGAGTTGCATACAAATAGAAAAACAGAAAATTAATATTGATTCAAAAAGCTGCAATTTCTAAAACATCACTAAAATCATCTCTTATTACACTAAAAAACAGCAAGTAGAAATTTGAGCAGTATAAATCTGTATAATTGTGTAAATGTAATTTTCCCGCCACTGATTTAAACCAATAAAATGACAAACCTAGTATCAAAACCTCTGACAATGGCTCCCATAGACCTGGCGGTACCAGCTGCTGCCAGACCGGCTACACCTCCTCCAATAATCAGCACCTGCTCACAAACATGCACAGAAAACAACTTCAAGTGAACAATATAAAAATGCAACATGTTTACAGCTAAAACTGCAATAGATGGTTTCACATATACAAAATTACAAGTACAGCACACACACACACATTACACACCTTAGCGGGTGGCACTTTCCCAGCTGCTGTGATTTGTCCCGTGAAAAATCGCCCAAAGCTGTTAGCTGCCAGCACAACTGACTTGTACCTGGAGGAAATACATAAATACATACATAAATAAATGAAAGAAAAGAAAAAAATAATAATAAATAAATAAATAAATACATACATAAATAAATGAATGAATAAATAAATAAATGAAAAAATAAATAAATAAATACATACATAAATAAATGAATAAATAAATAAATGAAAGAAAAAAATAAATTAATTAAAAATAAATAAATAAATACATACACAAATAAATGAATGAATAAATAAATGAAAGAAAAAATAAATAAATGAAAGAACTAAATACATACATAAATAAATGAATAAATAAATGAAAGAAAAAATAAATGAAAGAAATACATACATAAATATATAAATGAAAGAAAAAATAAATACATACATAAATAAATAAATGAAAGAAAAAATAAATAAATGAAATAAATAAATACATACATAAATAAATGAAAGAAAAAAATAAATGAAATAAATACATACATAAATACATACATATATAAATAAAATAATAAATAAATGAAAGAAATAAAATAAATAAATAAATGAAAGAAATAAAATAAATAATGAAAGAAAGATAAATAAAAAAGCCATATATATATATATATATATATATATGGGTTTTTTTTTTTTAAATCAAGTGCCAGCCATCTAAAAGTTGTTTACACTTTTTTTGGTGAACTGTCAAGAAAACATGCTTGAAAAGTAATGTGACAGGAAAATTTGCAAAGACAGAATGGTACCATTGCTAGTGTGTTATAATTCAAAGTCATTTGAAAAAGCTGAGTGTTCACATGCACTCTACATACAGCAAGTTAACACTTTCTTTCAATTTGTCTTATGCTCCTTTAAAATGCCCCATTTTAACTTTTATGTGTATCTGCTGCAAATAAAACTTCAAAAATGTTGCTTTAAAACATGGAAAGTTAAAGATATATCAAGTCAACAAATATTGTGTTGTGACAATATTAAACTAAAATGAAAATGGGACCAATACCATTTGAAAACTATGTTTTGACCAACACTCAAGCTTAAATAAAAAAAAACAAGGTTGTAGATGGGGCCTGAAACGAAGTTATTGTGTACACACCCTGCAATGTTTGCCATTGAGCTCAGTGCATCAAAACCCTGAGCGATGGTGACTCTGGGCACCTGGTCCATAGCCAGAACTGTGGCTCTTTTCTGGGACAGCATGTCCATCAGCTCGGGGTTCTGAGCTGGGTAGATGAAACTGAGTAAAGTCGCTGCGTCCTTCATCATCTCCACTTCATGAACACCCACGGCTGGGTTAAATGTAGGAGCACGGACCTGGAGAAATACAAATCCGGAGAAGATAAAAACAAAGATGGGCTATTACTATTGTACAAAACAGATACTAAAATCATATCATATGAAACCATATTAAATATTAGCTTTACAGCAAAAAGAAAAACACTGACATATATCATTTTAAAATCTACCTTAACCAACAGATCAGAGGCCAGAACGTCTTCTATGCCTTTAATTGTTGCTCCAGCCTGAGAGTACATTTCATCGGGGAACTTGGAGGAGTCTCCGGCTCCAGACTCCACGACAACGTTGAAGCCCTGTTTGATGAGAGCCTGAACACCAGCAGGAGACAGCGCCACACGACGTTCATTCTGGAAAATTTCTTTGGGAACTCCAACTGTGAGCTGCTTGTATGGGATTCCTGCAGAGGCAACAAACAAACAAACAAATGCAAGATAAGCGACAACTGCTCTTTTATTCACATTTCATGACTAACTCGTGAAAAATACAAACAATACTCTGGGCAATTACCGTAGTTTGAACTTCTGACCTTCTTAAAACTAGTATTAGTCAAAACATGCCACTAAAGAGTTTAAAATCCCATTCATGAGGACTTACACATGCTGTATTTAACAATATTCTACTAGTAGACATGAATCTGGGAATTTTCTTTTTATTATTAAAGAGAAAAAAGCAGGTCACATGCTTTGGTGACTGTAATGGAAAATCCCACATCAGCTTTTTCTCTGTTGCTTCTTCTACACAAACAAAAGAGCTTGATGTCTTTTCTCCTGCTCAACCTGCAGTGACGACCCATTCTCTCTCAACAAGTTGTGTGAGGATGTTGTGAGAAAACAAAACCTGAATAACTTAAAGCGTCTAAAACCCCAAATACCAGCTGTTTAAATGATTGTCCCTGTCCGTTAAATCTAAAGGACACCAAGTTCCAGGATTGATATTGTCAGTCTCAGAAAATATGACAAAGTTGGTTCCAGTTCATTAATTTTAACAGCTCAATACCCCACACGGGTCAAACCAGAGGTCACAGCAATGTCACATCTACACAATGCATGTACCTTTCCTTTATAACACTTTAGGCTGACAGTTGTGCATTCAGAATGGAAACAGTCAGCTGTTCCTAATGGCTGAACTGTGTTAGCCCCTGTCACTATGAACCAGAAAGAGAAAAACATCGGCACAACGCAGCACACACAGACACAAATCTACTGAAACCAGCTGGTACCAGATTCACAGCACCCACACTTCCTGTCTGGTCAAAGTGTGAAGAGAATAATTCCTGATGGCAGAAGTAAAGTGACACTGAAGACGGCCCTTTGTTTGGTTTAATTTCTCATTCTGATGCCAAAACAAAGAAATAATGTTGTGACAACATCTAAAATGTGCCTGATGAATTTCATCATATATTGAGTCTCTGATTTGTGCAATGTGTAACTTCCAACAGAAAGAAAAACTGCAGGCTATCCAAGGGCCAAAGCAATTTTTTTATGATCTCCTGGTAATTTGCTTTCACATGAAACCTTCTATAAAACCTGTAACAAAGTCTAACTGCCTAATCTGCAGTTCGAGGCACTGCACCGGGTTAGAAATGCTTTAAATTAATGTTTCAACTCAAAACTGTCAGTTTTCACGTGTTTTTATTTTCTGCACCTCGTGAAAAAGGTGGATACGTTCGTTATTACAAACTCTAAAATATGTTTTTCTTCAAAGCTGCAACTCGAGATTCAAATTAGACTTGTTTTTAATGCTTGAGCCACCATTAAATGTAGTATTTGTGAATACGTTATAGCATGTTTTCAAAGTTAAACATTACAAATTAGTTACTAGCAATTAAAAAAAAAAAATCAGTTTAAAGCAAGTTGGTGTGTTTACTTTAAAAGGTTAATAATTTCAGCAAAAATGTAATCAAATAATCATACACTAACAACTTTAAATGCAACTTTATTTTAAATACATAAAACAACTATTAAAAGATTAATTTGTGAGATAATTCTAATATCTAAACTGTGCAGCAACGTTAAATCCTTCATAGTACAAAAACAACCTAATCAATAGTTGTAAGAAATCACTCAGGCTGTCAGATCAAATGTCTATGATTTGATGTAGTGCTATCAAAATGGTTTTTTTTTTAACTGCTGTATTTACTCAGGACGATCACAACCTGCATGTTTTATTATAAGAAGTCTAAAATAGATGCTGGTATTGGCATTTTGTAGCAGCAAATATCACAAGAACTCAGGAGGGAGCATTCATTGAAACATTACATCATCATTTAGTGCAGTACATTTATTCATTTCAAACCAGAAAGCTTGTGATTTTGTATTTAAAGATGCATTAGACTGTTTAAAGAAATAATTATATTTATATATGCTTCTACCTAATCAGTGCGCAGCGTCCTACCTAGACTTGCACTCCGCCAAAGAGCTTGATGGGTCCTAAAAGAACGTACGCAGGTGGATTTGATTGCAGAGCTGCCGTGCACCTTCACGCAGGAGATGCTGCTGAGCAAAGGGGCCGAGCAGTTGACTGCCACGACACGCAGGAGGGTCGCCATGGTGCACGCACTCCCGACACTCGCACTGCAGGGGACCTCAACAGGACATGCAGCAGCCCTCCTGGAGAGAAGACATGTTGCATGATGGCAGATGAGAGGGAAGTATGGTTATAGAGATAGGACACACAAAAAAAACAGTTGTGCACAAGTGAGAAACTATAATTGTCGGTATGTTTTACAAAACTACCAGCTGACTGCACACACAAAAAAAAACTCTACTCCCTTGAAGATGCACAGACAGAATGCATGATTTATAATCCTGCAACAGGGCACAATCATTCCCACGTAGCTTATACCAAAATATAGACACAAGTAACTTAACATCTCTTCTGTATATCATCATGAGAGGAAAAAAAGACCATTCAGATATCCATGCATACTTTGCAGTTCTTTAAATTGCAGCTCTGTGGCTAAAGGAGTCAACAGCATGTGGGATTGCATGTTTACTCTGAAATGAGATAAAGGGACTGGGATAAATTGGTGTTGGTGACTGGTGTGGTGTGGTTTAATCCAGAATTTACTGGATTGCTTGAAACTTTTCTTTGACCCAAATGACATAACTTGTACAGGTCAGAGACATATCAATGAAAGCAAAAAGAGCAAAAAGTGATGAAAGTTAACTTTAAAGCAGAAAAATGCACCATTTAACTTTTATATTCAACTTCACTTTTCTACGGTTTGTCAAGTAAAACTGGGTTGATTTACACTTTGTTTTAATTTCTATTTTTAGGTTATGATCATTGTTTCTTAAGATTTTTAGAGGCTATTTTATGTTCAATCACAACGATTTTTAAGTTTTTACTAGTAATACCAATTGTTTTTTTTACTTTATTGAGCCGCACACACAAAAAAAACTTTTGGTTTTACACAATAATAAGGAAATCTGATCATAAGAAAACTGGATAAAGCGTACAAGATTGAATGTAAAAGAAAACTACAATGACAGCTGTAACAGTACAACTTATAAAAATGTCAAGTCACGTCTCCTTTTTTTTTCTAGCAAATCACTTTACAGTCAAAGAAACGTGGCTGTCCATATGTTGTCATTTATTTAATAAACCTTTTAAATAAAGTGCGTGCAGAGAAACAACCCGGGCAGAAACTAAGCTCTGGCTAACGGGTCCTAGTTCACTTATAAGTTAGCCTTGAGGGACTCGTTCATTCATAATAATGCCTTCTGCACAACTTGAAGTCTTGATGTGTTTTGGACAACACAGTTCTCATTATGTTCCTCTGTGAGAAGCTTTCATCTAAGCGGACATCTCTTTTCTCTGTCAGTCTCCTGAGGAGAGCCGTAGCTAACATGCTAACAAGCTAACCGGCGGGCTAGCTTGAGCTGAGAAAAAGTCACAATTGTGTCTTTGTTGTGAGCGACGTGTAAGTAAGCAAAAAGACACATGCTCAACTACTGAATGCAAAATGAAACAAACACAACAATGAAAAGTGGGAGCAGTGAGGTTAATGCCGAATAACTCGACTGACCTTTGAAAATACTCCCGGCTCTGCAGCGCAGGCGAACTTACGGCAACCCGGAAGGAGTTTGTTAAATTGCGCACGGCTCAAAGGAGGTAACTTTGTATCTATGTGACCTGATGCGGTGCCAACTACAAATATGTCATGTTTAATACAGCACACTGTGCAAATATATTTGATACAGTCCCACTGTGTTGATTAAAAGATAAAATGCATCCTAAAACTGAATAAAAAAAGGTTGAATGAATCAAGCCAATAATTTGCAATTCATCGTGTTACCACGAGAGGGTGCACTATTGCTCTATTTATTTTAAATCAACAGCTGTACACGTGTTCAATTCGGTTTCTAAATTCCAGTTTATTAAACGCAGTTTATTAATTAGTTGTCAAGCTTTTTTTTACCTTGAGAAATTTGCACTATCTTGATATATATATATAATCAAACTAGGGCATACTGCGTTTTTATCTGCACACATGCTGTGCAGCCATGCAGTCAAAATACTTCACCCCCCTGTGAAAAATATGTCAATTTGCATTTCTTTTGAGTATCGCAGAATAAAACGTTCTTGCTTCAATGTGTACTCTGTGGCACTACAATGCACACAAAGTTGAAATAATAAAGATCACAAAAGCAGTCAAACAGATCCTATTTTCATATTAGTTTTAAAAAGCTGAAGATTGCTCAGGTTGGGCAACCTTAGCTCAGCTTTGTTGCCCAATAATCTCAAACCATATGAGTTATGGAAATATGTTTGTTTTTCTTAAACTTTTGTTTGATCCACATTTCACCCTCTTTTTGGACTCCTTTCTTCCAGCCAGCCATGGTACTTCAAAATGAGCGACAAGTCAAGTTCAGATCCTTTTGCTTGACGTGTGATTTGCAGTTTGGGAAAATAAAATAAAGAATATTGCTTCCAACACACTCAGATAAAAAGTAAGTTCTACAATTTATCCATCTTTAAATTGATTTCGATGTCAGCCACACATCACACACATGTGAGCAGACTTTGAGCTTGTGTTTGAACGAAATGGTTCATGTTGCATCTGTTTGATTGTGAAAACTAGAATTCTGACACAAGAAATCCAGTCCATGCCCATTTTACCCAGTCTGATCCTGAATAAGCTCAGGGACAAAAACAACAGCTGTGTTTTTGCATCCTAAATATGATTTATTTTGTTGTTCACTTTGCATTTTAGTTGCATTCATAGTTGCAATGAAACTTGTCCACTGACAAGTTTTCTTCAGTTGGTGCAGTTATTTCCACCATAGAATCACGTCTGGTTTTAATGAACGACGTTCTGAAGATTACAGCCACAATAATATTCAGTTTTGTTATCTACATACAGATTTTACTCTGGTTTCAGTGAATTCGTTTAATGATTTTCATTAAAGGGATATGTTTCTTTGTGTACAAGATCGCCAACAGAACAGTAGGATTCTAATACACGCTTTCTCACACATGCTGCTCATCTGTTTCACTTTATCAGGCTCAGAAAGTGGAATGCATTGTTGTTATGCCTGATCCTCGTATAACATTTCACCCTCAGACAGCTCCTCTGCATGTCTTCTGTGGTCATCTGTTTTAACCACAGTCTTCAGTTTTAGTCTGTGCCTTTTTTCCCTTCTTCGTCTTTTATTCAGTTTTAGTTCACTTTCTGACTGTAAGCCATCTTAAAACATTACATTTCAAAATTAACAAGTTTATCTTCCCATCAAGCATTTTTGTCTCTGACAGTTCATGACAGTTTTACTTTTCATTGTTCTACAATTAATGAGGAACAAGCATCCTTTATAAATTTCAAATGTTGAAAGAAAAGAAAATGCAACTTTGGCACTTAATTTTCACATTGCATTAGAGAATCAACATGCATATGATTTCTTCTATTATAAAAGGACCAACTCAATTGCGGGGATATGACAATGCAAAAGTGATTGTTCTGCAGTCAGGATGTTGGCAGAATGATGATCAGCACCTTCACATGTCAAGTGTCTTTGGGCAAATCTTCGAACACTACGTTGCCCCATTTGTTCACGGTAATGCTCATCTAGTGAAGAAAAATCATACTGGGTGCAATAAACAGTGTGGTTAGAGGTGCAGCATGAATAAATGTGCAAAAGAGTGAATTAGAAACTTGTCTTTTATAGAACTTAAATAAGAGGCAATTCATGCTGTTCTATGATCTGTTGTATTTGTCAAACCCAATGTGCAGACAGGACTCAGGGAGCTTGAAGGGTAAAATAAAGAATAGTATTAATTTAACAAAAAGGCCGACGTGGCAGCATAAACTTACATGTGATATTAGCGAGACATGGAGGGAGATGGTGCATGACACCTTCACAGGACAATCCATGGGCAGGGGAGCAACAACAAGATGCAGAACTTATAGGGATGCTAACGAGGAGACGATCACAAACACCTGGAGAAGGACAGGGAGGGACAGGAGACAGAGGCAGGAGCTGATTACATGGGGGAAGAACACAGAGGAAGGCAGGAAAGATGGTACATAAACAAAAAAACACTCAGATCCTCTCACATCCATCCATTATCTTTATCCGCTTCTTCCTCTTTGGGTCACTGGTGCCCATGTCCAACTATCACTGTGTGAGAGTTGGGGGACACACTGGGCAGGTCTCCAGTCCATCACAGGGACACTTAGAGACAAACGAGACAAACAACCATTCACTCTCTCGCTCACACCTAGAGACAATTTAGAGTTACCAATCAGCCTAACATGCATGTTTTTGGTTTGTGGAAGGAAACCGGAGTACCTGGAGAAAACCCACGCATGCACGGAGAGAACATGCAAACTCCACCCAGAAAGGTTCCGGGCCAAGATTTGAACCTGCGACCTTCTCGCTGAGAGGCAACAGCTCTGTCAACTGCTCCACCGTGCCGCCCTGTTGCCACTTGTTGCAAAATGAGAACAAGAAATGAAGAGTCAAGCATTTTTATCTTGATCTAACTCTGGGGACCATTTGAATAATGAGTCTTCAGCTGTTTTTTGTTTTTAAGATGTTTGATCGGCTGTAAAGTTCAATTCTGGCCTGATAAATTCCCTAATGTAAGATAAATTATTTGATTTATTGTCAGTGCTTATAAAAGTTTTACCCTATTCCAATTTGTTTTTATGAGTACCAAAAAACTTTTTTTTTCCCCACAGGGATTTTAACTTAAATTACTCAAACACACCTCAATCTGATCTATTTACCAGAATCCAACCATTTTCTGCAAATTAAAGGCCTTTTGGTGTTCCTGTTTTTTTTTAGCTGCTCCATTCTGCAGGGGTCGGCACCACATACAAGCTCCCATGACAGATTTGGTGATTGTTTTACAACTGAAAGAAGGAAAAATGCTTCATTCTTCAAACATCCTTCTCTTCTTTACTGTCTTTATAGGCACTTTTTTTTTCCTCAGATTCACACCTTTGACCTGACGCTAACCGGATCTAATCTTCACCATCTGTTGCCCAGTTAGTGTCATTTATGACTTTACATTTAGTCACGCTGATGAGCAAACAGCTTTAAGGCTTTAATTATGTTTAAACCTGGGGTTCCCACTCTTCTTTCAGCAGTCATTTAAAATAATTTAGTAGTTTGTGATTAGGCATTAACTTAACAGCAGATATAACATTTAGTGCACAGTGAGCTAATCTTATCAGACTGATCTATTAAGCCAGTTTTTTTTATTTTATGGAATTTCCTGCAGGTGTAGGTTTGGCCTCTAAATTATGCATGGTGCAGCTGCCTCCATTCTCAGCAACGTTCTCATGAATGCTGTGCAACAACAAGCCTGTTATGACAAGTTCATGAGTGTGAACGAACACACGTGGGAGCACTGGAGTGTCTGTATCTGGCCTTGGATCCATGTTAGTGGTTACTGTTTGACTGAGAACAGACATGCAGCATCTCGTGAAGTGACACAGATAACGTGTCTCTGTGTGTGAGAGAGAGAGAGAAAAAGAAAAACAGAGAGAGAGAATGTGTGTTTTCTTTGCAAGAAAGCGCTTTGAAGTTGCAAAATTCCAGGAGTTTCCTGTTAACATGCCTGGACTTTAATGTGAACCAGGAGCCCCTCTTTCTCTCTCTCTAGAAGACGAGTGTCTCTGCAGTCAGTCTGAGACTGGTGAGAGGGAGTTAACATCACAACACACTTCGCTCTTCTTTTTTCTTTCAAGTTTCCAGGTTTGATCTGCTTTCACACAGACTGCTGCAACGTTCAGAGGAGCTCTGATTTTGGATTCAGATTATGGAAACTTCTCAGATGGACGTTTGATTGATTTTTCTTATTATTGTTGTTTTTTGTTTTTTTTTTCTTCACTGGCAAAGCTTTCCCGTTCGTCTCGGATGTAGCAAAAACTTCCCAAGAGCTAGCTGCGTTGAGAACACTACAAATGTGTTTTTGTGTTCCAGATGAGAATTTATGAGCTTTGGAATCGTTCCAATGTATCACCGATTCGATTCATCCATCATGTCAGGAAAGATGTTTCGTTTTCCTACCTCACACTATCTGATGTTAGCTGCTCTGTGGAGTCTCCTAAGCCTGGGTTCGCTTACCACCTGGCCAGGCATTCCTGGAAGCAAAGCAAAGGATCAGTTGGACCCGAATGTGAGAGACTGGGGGGACTACTCAGATATCCCTGATGGGATCCAACATGGACTGGGACTGGAAGAGGACAGAGAACCTGAAGACAACAGGGGTGCTGGAGAACCTTCATCGCATTTGGCTCCGGAGCTGGACTTTTTGGCGGACTTAGCAGGCAGGCGAAATAAACAAATTAAGCTATGCTTTTAATTTATTTATTTTTGTTCCATCCACTTAAAAATGTTCATGCACCTTTGATGCCCTCTCCAGGTAAAAAGCGTCTATGGGTGATAACAGCTGCATCACACAATGACCACTATCTTCAGATGATGGAGAAACAGTTGGAGGACATGGAGCAAGTACTATACTGATTTTTTTTATAATTCTAAAAGAAGCTCATGAACTTAAAAGGTTCTCTTTTAATTTGATCAGTTTAATTTCAAGATTTTACACCTTTTTACCCATTTGGGCGATTATCTTTCTCTGTATTTCTCAGAAAGGGCTGAACTGCCGTCTGGCAGAAAGAGACACCTTCATCATTACCATCATCCAGAATGCCATGATGGAAGGGCGAATCCAGAAAACCACTTTTCAAGGCGATGCCATAGTGGAGAGCCTGGATCCTGACACAGTCACCAAACTGCTTCACTACCTGGATCTTACCAGCCAAGTAAGCAAGTTTCTTGTCTGTTTACCCACATGTGTCAGAGTTGTTCGACTTCTGACTTAACCAATCATTTCAGGATCAAACTTTCACCATGCTGGTTATGAAGAAGAACCTCCAGGTCACTGAGCGCTTCCCCTATCCAGTTCGAGTTGAGGCAATTTTTGAGTTGATTGATCGGTTCCCCATGAGGAAGCTGGAGAAGATGACCAGAAAAGGATCTAACCTAAGGTTCTATATGTGTTTTGTTGTTTCAGGGTACTAATTTTACAAAGTCCTCCAGCAGTTCAGACCATGAAGGATCCATTTAGCTTATTATTCTACACATTGCCACAACAGGCTGGTGCTGGTGAACCCAGTGGTGCAGGCAAGCAAGCGAGGACTCATGATAATGTAAAATAAAGTATTTATTAGCAAAGCAAAAAGCTGACAGGGCAGCAAAACAAACATGGAATGATCAGGAGGTACTCACATAACAGACAGGTCATCACCAGTGAACAGAAGACAACGTCTGGACAAGGAGTGAGACAAACACACAGGCTTAAATACAGGAAAACACCAATTAGACAACGTGAAGACACCTGTGAGTAATCACAGATGCCAGAGACTGAGGACACAAGACATAAACATGACACAAGATGTAGCCAGATACTTAAACACAAATGCAAACATAAACACAACACCCGAAGGGCTAGACACCAAGGAACATAAACTACAACTCCTACACATGTCCATAAAAGGTTTTAAATTTCACATCATTTCACAATTTTGATTATTATTTTTTTTGGTCAACCTGACATGTCAATTGGACCATAACTGAATAATATCAACCATGTTTTTACAGTAGACACAAATAAAAAGTTCCTTGTTTCTGAGGGAAACTTTCTAACAACTAAGCTAGATTTTTGAATGAGCTGCAATACATATGGTGTATGTTTTGGGTTTTTACATTTATTTACACAAAAGATCATCTTAATAACTTTTATGCATTTTTTAAACATTACTAAGCTATTGTTAACAGATAAATGTCCATATCAAGACAGAAACTCAAGGAGTATACAAAGTATTAACATTTCACGATTTTACTTAAAAAAGCAAATATTCACATCAAACAATAATTAGATGAGCCTTATTACTTTACGCAGGGACTAAGTGAAATATGAAGTATTTATATTTTTTATTTGATTCCAGAGTTTCATAAAATGTACCTTTGGGCTCATTAGCTTGCAACAGCTTAAACTGACAGAACAGATTGAATGTGTGTCAAAATCATTAAACTATTTGTTGAAATTTAGTATTTTGTGTCTTTATGATTTAGGTGTAAAACGACTAAAAAGAAGGTGGTTGCCAAACGAAAAAAGATTGTTAAAAAGATGGTGCTGAACTCTCAGAGTGGAGGAAACATGACCACGTCGGTGCCTTCACAAAGGAAAACTTTGGACAAAAAAGCTGTGGTGAAGAGTAAAATCCAGGACATACTGAATGGTCGGTCGAGGTTTGTGATCCGTAAGGTAGCTGCTGGATCAACAAAAGGAAAGGAGTTGAGCAGTAACCCCTGGGGAACCTCTGAAATGTCCAGTCTGCCTTCTGCTCCAAAAAGTAACGAGGAAGTAAAAACAGACAAGTACTATATTTTCATGAGCTTTTGAATTGTATCTTGATTTATTCAGCAATCATAACTTATAAATGTATATCTTCTGATGGAATGTCAAAAAGGATTTATTTTTTGTTTTGCAGGCCTTCAACCACTGTCGATGAAAAAAAGAAACAAAATGGAGGGACAAACCCTGAAGATAAAGTTGAAGCGAATGAAAAAGTTGATTCCCAAAAAAAAGAGAGCCCAAAGAAAAAGGGCAAAGGGAAGAAAGCAAAGAAAGGGAAAGGGAGAGGGAAAAAGTCAAACAAAGAAGTTAGTGAAGAGGATAAAGTGATCATGGGGACGTTTTTGAACAGTTTAAGTGGGTCCAGAAGGCTGATGGTGAGAACTTAAATTTTTGTGAAAATTTTATTAACCTGTTTTTCTCTGCTGTCTGTGTGTCTCACAATGTGTTGCACAATGGTGAGCACACCGCATGCATTAAATACACTGAATTACACAACTGAGCCGGACTTTAGTGCAAACAAATGTGCCTTGCTTTTTTTTTTGTGCACAAGCTGATCTCAACGCCGAGCAGAGATGCAACACTGTTCATCCAGCAGACTGAGGAGAACGAGAAACAACGCTGTGAACTGGCTCTCAGGAAGATCACCGTGGCAACCATCGTGGGCGAAGGAAGTGACGCCACCATTAATCTGCAGCATCATCAGCTCGGTATGAAGTTTCGGTTACATAGATAATAATAACTAATAACATAGATATGTGCATCTAAAGGTTGTTTTGCTGCTAGATTTATCTCAAGTTCCCAGAAAATATAAAAGCGTTGTTGTTTCTCCCATTAGAATAAACTGAACCAGCGGTGGAGTATTATATTTTTTCACCATGGTATGACCAGAGGGAAATGTGGTACTTCAACAAAACACGACAAACAAACCAGTGCAGCCATTCTGATGGGTCTGTTCCTTTTACAAACACAATGAAGCTAAAAACTAAAGGAAAACACATATTGAGCATTTGCAAACTACTATACTGGTAAAATGGTGGTTACTGGAAATACAGTATCATGCTAGTACCAATACTGGTATTACAATACAGTCTGAAAGGAGAAAACATTTTTAAAACATGTTTAAAATATGTATTTATTAACAATTAACAATTTATTCTGATGTTTAAACAACAATTTAAAAAAATTTAAATTGATACAAAGAAGAATTTGCACGGCATACTTTTACGTTTTTCCTGAGGACATCATGTAGTTATGACTTTAAAATAGGGGATTTTTGGTCAGGATGTATTTAATCAAGTACAGCTTGTGTTTATGTTGAAATCAATATATATATATATGTTTTTAGTCAGTCTTTAAGAAACAGCAAATTTAAAAAAAAAGCCTCCATATTGTAACAATCTAATCTAAAAAAAAAAAAACAAGTAACTTATTTTAAAGTTACGCTCAAAGTAGTTCTGTGTTTATTTCCTTGATTATTCTAATGTTCTACACACATCATGGATCTCTCCACTTCTGGTTTGTTTAAAGTAAAGCTGCAGCTGCAACTGATTTTAGCAAATCTCTTTGTGTCACTACCAATAACTTTTTTTTACCACTCCTTTTAAATAGATTATGTCGTGAACTTCCCTGAAACTCCCGCACAAAGCAAACCTTTCAACAAACCAGCCATATGGCGCTTAGAGGAGGCTGTGATGTCAATCCCAGTGGGATGGATTGATCAGTGAAGGGCTGCACTCATGTTGTTTTAATCAACTTTGTTGGTTTGTTCTATTTTGTCGGTTTTGCATTTGTGTGTTTCAGAGTCAGAGTCTTCTCCCAGCGACTTATCAGAGTCCATCTTAGACCCTCGTCTGATCCCACTGTTGAGAGCAGAGCTCGGCTTGTCGTCTTCAGACCTTTTTTCTATGACAGTCACAGATTATGACATCAAGCCCAAAGTAAGAAAACGCATCCTTCAACCAAGCTTCTTTGATGACTTTATGTTTGGGTTGGACAGCCATGTTTGCTCTTTTTTGACAGTGATCTCACAAACATTCACTCCACAGGTAGATTATTAGAAACAAAACTAATCCTGAATGTCAATACTTATCAAAACTAAATATAGCTTTCAGCTTGCAGGATTTTTTTTTTTTCAATATATATTACAAATGGCAGCACGGTGGCACAACTGGTAGAGCTGCTGCCTCTCAGCGAGCAGGTCCCTGGTTCAAACCCCGGTCCAGGGGCCTTTCTGGGTGGAGTTTGCATGTTCTCTCCGTGCATGCGTGGGTTTTCTCCGGGTACTCCGGTTTCCTCCCACAGTCCAAAAACATGCATGTTAGGCTGATTGGTAACTCTAAATTGTCCCTAGGTGTGAGTGAGAGAGTGAATGGTTGTTTGTCTCGTTTGTCTCTATGTGGCCCTGTGA